CCCTTTCAGGCCCTTCCAGGCCTCCGGGCGGCGCGAGGGCGGCGCAAACACGAGCCCGGAGGGGGCTGAAGCTTCAGCCAAACAGGCAGGGAGAAACACTGACAATAACTTGAGACGTGTTCAACGGGACGAGGGAGGGGGCGGCTGACGCACAGTGGTTCCGATCCGGTAAAAGGTGGCCAAAATTACATTTTTTTATTTGCACAAATCGGATTATCTTTATCTCTGAAAGAATCTACACACACCAAACTTCTTGAAAAGTAATGTTTCCACATCGCAAACGCAGGTTTTACCCATGGAAAATAATTTGAAAACTGACTGGCATTCCCCGAGGAGGTTAGAGGTGCTTTCACGGAAAGTGTTTTATTTTCTCTTTTTAGGCAAACTAGAGTGTTGTCTGACTCTGAGAGTGTAAATAAATGTGCCCTTTACAGGTTTTAGGCGCGTTGGGCACCAAAGACTTCACAGACATTTAGTAATACTAATTTTAAAACGTTACTCCAGTACGAAAATTTAGTCAATACTTTGTATTGAGAAATAAACTTTTCAGCGCCATTCAGCGCGAAGATAACAGGCTCTATGGATACGTTGAAACTTAAACTTCACTCTTGAATCGAGTTCTAATGCCGAAACGTGCCGGTTCACTGGTGAGAACACTAAATTCAAGAGTAGCTGGGGCCCGTTCGTAACCATTTGAGTCGCCCCAGGACCTGACTTCCATTCAATCATTTTAGGATATGTTTTTAAATGCCGTTTATTTACATGAATCCGACCGAATCTCCTCAAGAAAGTGATTCAATCTATTTTAAATAGTCAAAAATGATACATAACCTCACTTTTGCCAATTTTTACAGAGGCTCGGATTTTTTTGCCGGGATTTTTCCCCGCACATATAAAATATGGCCAGATTTGAAATGAGGAGCACAAAACAATCGCACCACCCTATTTTTATTCATTTTCCTCATAAAATACAATTTGACCCCCCTTTTTGATCAGGTTCCGGCCCTGTCAGATAACTGAAACCACCTTTTTTAAATAGAGCGATCTTAAAAACCTCGGGGACCTTCGTTTTGGATTTACGGATGGCATAATTTCAGAGCTTTGGGTTTTTGGCCACGTTTTCCACGATCGGGACCACTGTGTGACGGCTTGTAAGCAGTCCGGGGCACCAGCGTAGGGCCGAGGCGTCAACGTTTACTGATTGACTTTGTGCGTTTATTATTAGCTGTTATTAATT